ATGACACTCTAGTGAGTCTGTGACAATGAGCAGGAACGTTAGACTCCCCTGCCCTGGCCTTTTCTCTCTGAAGTCACAAGTCTGAAGCCTCAGTCACCAGCTGGGTATTGAGACCAGCCTCAGTCACTCAGTCTGGGAGCTGAGACCAGGACAAGACTGCCTCCACCTAGTGGTGCTCCACATTGCTCCAGACCAGCAGAGCCACCCCTCAGACCTCTGTAGCAGAAACTCAAGATAGAGCAGCAATCTGGTTGTCACCCGGGTATTGGGATGTACATGCCAGTAGTTTTGCAGCTGTGTTGATAGGAACCCCTGAGGTCCAAGGCAACTGCTTGCCTGGATTCCTGATCACGGGAAGAGCACAGGAGGCTTCTGAATGTCAGAGCACAGCATTCTCCTCTGTCTAATACATATGGTACAGCTGGAAGGCTTCACTTGGAAAACCATTCTGGTTTTTCTTAATTAAAATACAAGAGAGATGATACCAATAGCCATAGGCAATCTAGCCACTGGGAGAACATTCTAGATGATCTGGGCCCAGGTTTCTGGGTTATCCAGGGAGGCCATAAGCCAAATGAAAACACCCAATCTCCCTCCCCAAGCAGCTCCATAGGCTCTCCCTGGAGAAGGGAGCACATATGATTCCTCCAGGAGCTTTGGTAACAGAGAAGGGGGGTCAAAGTCCCTGTCTTTTCATCCAAAAAATGCCCTGGACAGAGGTATCATCTCCCCTTTTCACTATTCAGAAAGAAGGCTCTAGAAACAAAAATGTGGTACTAAAGAATTAGCAAGACAGAGATGGAAGGAGAAGATACTGCTCCCCCTCCCTGCCCCACCTTTTTGCTGTACTAGAGACAGAACCCCAGGCCTTTCCACCTGTGCTATGTCCCTAGATCCCCACCTCCTTCCTTTTTTCTTTTTCTTTCTTTTTTTTCTTTCTTTCTTTCATTCATTTGTTCTTTCTCTCTCTACTCTCTCTCTCTCTCTCTTTTCTGAGACAGGCTCTCACTAAGTTGCTAAGTTGTAGAGGGTGGACTCAAACTTGCAATCTTCCCTCCTCAGCCTTCCTAGAGTGCTAAGATTACAGGCATGCACCACCATGCAAGCTTCCCTTTTTACATTTTTAATTAAGGTTTAATAAACACATCAAAATGTTTAAAGTCAACAACTTTCTAACCTGAAGTACCAACCTGCTTCTGAAGGGAGGCAAACCTCCCACAAGGACTGTAGCGATCCAGCTTTCCCCCTTCTCCTGCCCTTCCCTGCCCATCCTCTCTGTTCTGCCCTCGTAGGAAGGCGAGGAAGGATCCTTTGGTGGAGTGGAGAGGCAGGGCCACTTCTGAGGCTGTGAAATCAGCACTGCACACTTTCTTAGCTAAGAACACTCCTCTTAGCTACCCCAACAATTTGGCAGTTATGTCCAGTTGCTGCTTGCTGCTCAGTTAGGTCCAAAAAGTCTACACAAAGGGCACTGGCCATTGCTGAACCACTCGTTGTTCCCAGGGGAAAGATGGGTCAGGTTCATAGAGCCTCCAGGCACCATACTTTCACCAGCTGATCAACTATAACATAACCTTCTCTGCACTGTGCTTCTGTTTAAAGGCATCCTACTTCAGACAGAATGCACATCCACAAACACTGGACTCTCACCAGGGCACTGTGACTCTCACCACAGCAAAGACACACAAGTCTCCTTTGACTCCAAAGAACACTTCAGTACTGTCCATGGGAGTCATCTTAAACAGCAAAATCAACAACAGAAGCACCAGAAATACACTATGCAAGTAACACTCGCTCACAGTATGAGAGCTGAAACATCAAGAAGGCAAAGTCAGGGCTGGGGATTTAGCTCAGCGGCATAGCACCTGCCTGGCAAGTGCAAGGTCATGAGTTTGGTTCCCGGTACTGGAAAAAAAAAAAAAAAGAATGCAAAGTGCCACCTTGTTTGACCTCAGCTGAGGACGCCTGTGTCGGGTGAATCTAAGTGTCCACTGCTCTGGCACTGTCTGCAAAAGACTGAGGAGGAGCCACAAGTATTGTTTTGAGGCCTATAAATAAATGCCAGAGAGTAGTCAAATTCACAACTATGTTGTCAGAGAATAATGATCCACTGCATTTTGTGGTGATCTTGGGTGACTAAAGTCAAACCAACCAAGTTCTCAGCACCAAAATCATCTATGCCTCACTGCCCATCCTTTCCTGCTTTCTGTGGTCACTCTCAGTCACAGCCGCCAGGACTCAACATCTGCAAGGGGAGAGGCTCAGGACAAGGCTGAGAGGTCTCACTCTACCTGCTTCAATCCAGCTGTGATTCACCGGCTCACTGGAGCATGTTAACAGCCCCCAGCCTCAGTCCAAGCACCTGGGAAACGCAATCAGAACAGCACTTCCACCTTCTATAGCCACTGTGAGGATTTGCTGAGATGCTCCAGGGGATCCAAAGCACACAGGCAGTGTCTGGGCAAAAGGGAACTGGAACAAGTCACTTCAAACAGTCCCGGGGTAGGGAGGGGATATTACAAGCACCCATCATTGTCCCTGCTGGACTTTGGAGCTCCTGAGAGCCATCCTGCTGGGTCTTCCATCCTCTCTTGGTGAGCCCCTGTGTCCCTCTGTGCTCCCAAATGAGGGTCCCCAACTAGGATGGCTGCATCAGAGGAGGTGGATGCAGCTCACTTTCCAGCTTGCTAAGTCCAGAGGACTCAGGGCCTTCCTAAAACCCTAGGAGTCAGGGAGGCAACAGGAGCACCACAGGGGACAGACAGGTGAGAAAGAGGTAGTGAGGAGGGTACTCAGCCTCTCACTGGAATCTTCAGCGTATCCTTTGAGTGTTGCAAACCTGTTACTGGTCATGGTTTCTTATTTAAAAAGTTAAATTCAGGCCAGGTGTGCTGGCATATGCCTGTTTTCTGAGCATGGTGGCAGGCTGAGGCAGGAGAATAGCAAGTCTGAGCCCAGCCTGGACAACTCAGTGAGAGTCTGTCCTACAAGAGAAATTTTTTAAAGAGCTAGGGATGTAGTTCACTAGCAGTGCTTGCCTAGCATGTGCAAGGCCCTGGGTTCCATCCCAAGCACCATTCAAAAAAAAAGTTAAACTCATCCTGAGGCTGACTATGGAAACATTCAGATTTCCATGCAAATGCACAGCTGCCTTGAAATTTCTGCTGCTGCCCAGCATCTTCCTGCCATGTCTACTGCCTCTCATATTTCTCTTCCACCAGACAAACCCCAGTGTGTGAAGGGGCCTCTCCGTGCTGCTATCAACCTGCCTGTCACTACCTGCGGGCACAGACAAGGTGGCTAGAGAGGGGCTCAGCACACACCTGCTTCACGTAGCCAAACAAGGAGGCCCTCCCTGGCCTCCCCTCTAATCCACTTCAAGTTACAACAGCCCCCACTCCAGGCCAGGCCGGATGCTGAGATCCAGAGGTCAGGGAGGACCAGATCTTCCCCCTAAGAAGCTCTCAATCCAGTGGAGGAGATGGAGTTGGAGGTTTGGGAAGGGCAGTGACATAGGGCACGGACAGCTACAAAGCTCAGACAGGGGCTCCTCTCAGCTTGGGCAGAAGACCCTGGAGGAGGGGATGCTGCAGCAAGAGGAGACAGAGTCTGTCCTGCTCATCTGGACTTCCCCAGTGCCGTGCAAGACCTGGCAAAATGCAGCTGTTTTTCCTGACATCAGTATAAACTGTGTACGTACATGTGTATAGAGGGAAAGACCCTCATGCGGACAGAAATGTGTACCGATATGCATTTGTAAAGAGAGTTTGACATCAGTGTGTGTCCGTATGTGTACACACGCATGCAGCATGTAAGATCAAAGAATACAGTGAATACTTATTTTTATTTTGCTTTTTTACAATGAAAGACACATTGCTATTAATCCCCCTCAAAGTACTTGCCCTGGCTTTGCTCTTGCTACTTTCTGAAGCAGTTCTAGAAGTACTTTTTCATGAAGATCATTAGTTGTGCTGTTATGGCTTCCTCTATGTCTTAAATTGACTCAAAATGCTTACCTTTCATGGTCATTCCGACTTTGACAAAGAGCCAGAAGCCGCATGGTACCCAATCCAGTAAACTAGGTGGGTGAGGACACCCTGTAACATTTTAGTGAGCCTGCCTTTCCATTAGATGGCACTCCGCAGCACCATTTGCTGTATTTTTCATCACACCTCGTAAAGACACTCATGTGTCTCATTTACTGAATACCTCTCCTATATTACGAGCAAGAGAGAGGTGGCCCTCATGGAGCCTACAGTGAAAGTGGACTATTTTGAGGAAAGCTAGTGATGATGTGTCTTTACTATAATAAATTTAATTTAAACAGTCGCAGCATATTTTGACCACCCCTCGTACACAGCTCGTGAGCTGATGCTGGACAAGCCCAGTCTAAATGCAAAGGCTGCATGTAGAGGATGAGTGGAAGTTGAACCCAGGACCAGTACAGTGTAGATGAAGAGCCGTGATCAGTGTGGGGTTGCCATGGTGTGAGGGACAGGGGAGGTAAAGCTGGGGGACGGAGGTGACCCTATAGAAGAGCAGGGTCGGGACCTCAGGCCTCTGTGCCCAGCAATGGCCCTACCACCTGGTTGCTCTGCGGGTGCACTGCTGACTCCCCTTTTCTGACTCCCATTGAAAGATGAATAAAAATGAGCAGCTGACCCAGCTCGCGTCCCAGGAGGCCACCAGGTAGCTCACTAAACCGTCCCTGAAGCAGCAGAAACACACACTTCATCCAGGAGAATTTCTCACTATAGATCACAAAGCAACAAACCTCGAACATTGCCCTTGTGGGAGTGGGGAGCAGGGTCTTCCCTGTGACACCACAGACCATTCCTAAGGCCTCAAAAAGGGGACGAGCCCTGTCACACACCTGTGGGGAACAAAGCGCAGACCCCATGTCGGGGTGGGAGAAAAACTGAATGAAAAGAAGGGAAGGAAGGGAACAGCGCCAGGGACTGGGCCCCAGAGCACCAGCAGCAGCTCCAGCCCCCATGTACCTCTGAGCTGTCAGATCCGTAGAGACACCAGCGGCAGCACTGTAGTGGGAAGAGGTAGCTACAGGTGGGTTTTCTGGGTCTGTGGGGGCAGCCGGCTGGATGGCATCATCTGTTACAGGTGAGCTGAGAAGAGAAGAAAAAACTCAATGTTCAGACATGTTCGGAGCACATTTCCTAGCACATGTTCCTAGCATGTGTCTTAAGAGCACGTTTTATCAGCCCTCAGTAGGACCTCAATTTCCCTTTCTATGAGGGAAGCATCTCTGCTGTTCACAGGAGGGTCCACAGATGACACTGGTCCAGAAGAAGCCTGTCACCGGCCCACGACAAGTATAGAAACCAGAACAAGAGTTTGGGAACCTTTATAGTAATTTGAAAGAATAATTGTATGTCTGTTGAATCTAACAACAAAAAGTCACAGCTTGTGTTTTGTAGGTCTTTAGTGCTTCTCAATGAGGGACACCAGTCTCTGGAGACATTTTTGGCTATCACACCTGGGGCTGGGGGAACGTTACAGGCATCTAGAGGGCAGAGGCCAAGGCTGCTGCTCACGTCCTACAGTATCCACGACAGCCCCCTGTGGCAAATGATTATTTGCCCCAGATGTCAATAGTACTGGCATCAAGAAAGCTTGGATTCAACTTTTGTCTCATTTTCCTAATGGTTTATCTAATTGTATTTTCAAAAGTTTTGATATCTAACAAGTTAGAACTTTAAAGACTGCACTGGTCTTTCACTGGTTGAAAAAAAAAAAAAAAACTGTCCTGGAAAATTCCCAAGGGCAGGCAGTTTCTGAAAGCACCGAGACACAGGCATAACTTTCTTTCTGATGTGGCAATTCTGTGGCACATTCTGCTTGCAGCCATAAGTAATGAGACTATGATCTTCATTCCTTGAGCCTCTGCATTTACTGAATACTTGTTCTATATTATGAGCAAGAGAGTGGTGGGTCCTTGTGGAGCCTGTAGACTCAGGCAAAAAGCAGGGTTTTTTAAAAATGCTTATTTATTTGGCGATAATGGTAATAACAGCTAAGATGGCTATGACAGCATATGCTAGGAGTTCCTGGCCCAGAGTCAGGGTCACAGAAAACTTCCTTGTGAGTGGTGAGTAAACAGAGGTTAGCTGGCTGCGTCCGGGATGGCAAGTGTGTACTGATGCTTACTGAGTACAGGGATATCTTCCAAGCATATTTACATACACACTACCATATTTGGGCCTCAAACAATCCCATGAAATGGAGCTATTATCTGTCTCACTTGTTAACTAAGGTACAGAAAAGCACAGTGCAGCTGCTAAGTGGCAGAATGAAGACACAAACCCAAGCCTAACTCCAGAAGTTACATTCATCATCACCAGGAGCCGCAGGGTGTTTGAAAGCCATGATCAGGAAGGAGTTTGGCATTATCAAAGAGCATCAAAAGGTCAGCGTAATTAGAGTGTAGATAAAGAAGGGAGAATTACAAAGAGGAGAAGTGGACAGAAGCCAGATCACAGGACCAGGTGGAGGAACTGGGACTCGGTCCTAAGCTACAGGGTAAGCCCAAGCTTCTATCAAATGTTCAGCCACAAAGCACTGCAGCTTGGCATCGAGATGAATGGAAATGGGGATGTCCAGGGTAATTTCCCAAAACTGTACTCGAAATAGGACTGAACTAGCCCAGACTGGGGCCCACAGACCTCCACTGCTTCTCCATGGTTCCCATCCTAGCCTCAGTCCCACAGGATCAGATCTGGAACCCTGTGGCCACAAGCAGTCAGAAATTGGTGCAAGGGCAAAGGCCAGCCTGGAGGAGGGCGGATGGCAAGGACTCTGGATGGCTTTGGTGGATCGCAATTTGGAGAATTCTGAACTCGGACAAAATAATTTTCCCAACATCAGAAAGTCAGAGTGGAAAAACAACCCAGGAATTTTGGCAACATCATTTGAAAGACAGAGAAGACATAATTTCTTCGGACATGGCCCTGTATTTCCAGGAGTTTAAGGAGATGATAAAGATTGTCGGCAACCAAAATGCTCAACAGCAGCGGACAGTTAGTCAAATAAGACGCAGCCACCCAACAGACTCGTTTGCAACAGTTTTCGAGAAAGAAAGTAAAGCTTGATGCATCTAGATGTAAACATGTTCATTATTAGCTGGAAATGGGGTAAAACTATTGGCAACACGCTCAGATTTATGTCTGTGTATACCAGTGCATGTTTCTATAAATACACAGACACAGAAAGCAAGCAACAGATTGAATGAGGAAACAAGCACTGCCAGAAATAAACAAAATGTTCAGAGGAACTATCTTTCAGGAGTAAAATAATTAGTGTTTTTCTTCTTCGTAAAATCTCTCTTTTTCCAGTTCTGTCCTGAGTACACACTGCCTTTATAATCACAATAAGTAACAAAACCTATTTAACAAAAAGTTTAAAGGTCAGGAACAACTTCAATTCGTAACTCAGCGAAAGCCTTACAAGGTAGAGGACAGCCAACATAATGGTGTCTTTCCCCAGCCCGTACCTATGCTGTCCCATGATCAATGGATTCGCCTGTCTCAATCCAAGGCAGAAACACACCCACACCTCATCTACTAGGCACTGCCGGGGAAAATGAAGGTTCCAGTAGAGAAGTTTTTGGAAGACAAGTCTCTGCCAACATATTTTATGGGGTGGAATTATTTTTCAAAGCATATTGGACACTTTCCTTATTTTTTGAATGGGGGCTCTTATACATAATTAAATAGTTTCTCAATGACATTTGATTGGCACCCTGACCAGCTGTGATATAAGTGAAGAAGTATGCTGCAGTACTGAAAACCAACAGAATATGAAGTCAAAAGGGCTGGATTCCAGTGTAGCCCCACCTTGGGATCTCAGCCAGGTGACTGCTCTGAACTTTAGATTTTCCATTCGTAAAGTGAAGGCGCCGAGCTGCATGATCACCAAGGACTCTGGCTCAGCCCTGTTCCCCACACTCAGGTTGTCTGTTAGCTGTGCCTTGTGCTTACCAACTCCCCTCCTTCTTCTTGCTGCTTATGTCTTCCACTTGTGCTTCTGCTGTACTGCAGACTAAGAATACTGTGTCCATCAAGAGTTAATAAGCTCTGAATAAAGGTCTATCGACTTCCAGTACAAAATTTAAAAATATACGTGTATGTTTGTATATAAATATACAAGAAGTTTAATTAGAGGGAATTAGAGGTAATTGACATTTACATATGTCAAATTCACACTGAGCCATTAGCTCTGGGACTTTTCTGTCTTATTTTCTAGTGATCCTGTTATGTTTCTGAAGCCTAAGGATGGGAGAGAGCTGACTTTTGGGGAAAATGGAAGGACTCTTCACAAACAGTTCTCAGACCAACTGTCAGAGGCTATAAAAGGCTTCTAAATTCTATTACTGATGGCACAGGGTTAGAGTGACTGACATTATTCAGAGGGAAAAAGTATCAGTCAGAGATTTCAACCACCAGCTGCTGCCGCCAGCTGCCAGGCCAGCCCACTGTAAACTTGGTCAGGCCAGCAAAGGGTGGATTTGCCACTGGAATGTCAGGGAGGGAAGCTTGTATCAACAAGTGCTTCTGCACACAGCCATGAGTCACTGCTTCACAAACCCAGGCAGAGAGGACTCTGGTTCAGAGAGGAAGACATTCGAGTTCCACCAAGGCAACACCTTCGGTTCTACGCACACCATAGATGTCCTAGCAAGCACGCAGGTGCCAGCATGAATTGCATAGGACCACACTCTCCAGGCCTGATAGGATAATGGTGAACAAGGCAAGCTCAAGGTCTAAAGGGAGACTGTGAAGAGGGGTGTCTCAGCCCACTCTGGGGACTCAGTCCACTGTCAGTCCACGCTAAGGGTTGCTACAACAAAATCCCAGAGACTGCGTGGGTTACAAACAACAGCCATTTATTTCTCTGGAAGCTGAGAAGTCTAAGATCAAGGTGCCAGCAGATTTGGGTCTTGTAAGGGCCAGCTTTTGGCTCACTAGTCCTCACATGATGGAAGGGGCTAGGGAGCTTTTGGCAGGCTCCTTTTATACAGCATTGATCCTGTTTCTGATAGTTCTACCCCATGCCTAATCACGTTCCAAAGCCCTCACCTCCTAATACCATCATCTTGGGGGTTAGGGTTTCACCATATGAATCTGTAGGAGACACAAACATTCAGACCATAAAAGGTGGAAACAGAGGAACAAACTGCCATAGAAATACAGGATTCTTTGAGGTCAGAGCAATGTAGGAAGGTTCTGTGACTAGCAAATGAAGAGCTTTAATAGGCTATGCGTGCACAGAGCTTTCCAGGAAAAAGTTTCTCAGACTGAGGGTGTAGCTCAGTGGGAGAGAGTATGCCCAGCATGTAAGAGGTCCTAGGTTCCATTCCCAGAACCACAAATAAAACAAGCTTCTCCTCCTTCTCTTCCTGATGGTTTTGGTGAGGAGCCACTAGGCTCTACTTCCTTTCCCTTCCCATAGAAGGTGAGGCTTGGGGGTAGAAAGGAGGAGACAAAAGCAGCAGTGCCGGAGAGAAGATAAGGGTCTTTGGGAAACCATTACCTGTGGGGAGAAACAGCCAAAACAACAATAATAACCGTATCAAAGATAGTAGGTACCAGGCATGGTGGTGCATGCCTGTAATCCCAGCACTCTGGAGGCTGAGGTAGGAGGATCGCTGTGAGTTCGAGACCAGCCTGGGTTACAAAGTGAGCTCAAGGCCAACCTGAACTGCACATTGAGACTCTTGTCTCAAAAAGACAAAAAAAAAAAAAAAAAAAAAAAAAAAAAGATAATAGGAGCCAGGTTCTCACAGTCAGATGACTTCATGTACAAAAAGTAATCAGCTGAAAGAACTGGCTTTGATGAGAGGTATCCGATAAATAGAGGGGATACAGAGGAGCATGTGTATACATACATGTATGTACACTATACACACAGTGATTTCCTAGCACTTTCTCCTGGGAAGGATCATGTCAAAAAGATACATGAACCACTTCAAAGGGGCTGCCACTGGCCAAATCTGAGAACATTCAGATCTCAAAAAAATTAATAAGAATAAAACAGTGATGGACTTTTAACCCACTGCATTGTTATTTTCTTATGAGCCTACTAAACATAAATAAAGACATGGTCAATG